TTATGGAGAACAGATGCAATGTTATTTTAAAATTTCATTTTGCTGTGCACAACATTACAAAACAGCTCAGAGAGCAGGCACAAGGTGCTAACATTTGAGGGCGGAGAGGGAGAGTCTGGACAAAACAGAAATTTGTTTCACTGCTTCCCACGGGTTCCTACAATGCCTCTAAGCCCCTGTAATTTTCAGGGGTAGGGACCAAAGCCCGCGGGGTGCTTCCACACGGATAATAGATCTTGCAGAGATCTATTCTAATTTGGAATTTGCTCACATGCTGAATGAATAAGAATAAATTGCTTACTTTCTCTGATTCTGGGCCCCTGAAGGGTAGAAAAGCATAATTATCCCAATAAATAACATGGCATTATAAGTCAATAATGGGATGGCACCTTCCTGGCAGCCAGACTGTAATCGTGTGAATTCAGACCTTGAGTTTGCCAAGGTGCTTGTTACTGCAGGGTTACTATAGACTTATTATATTCTTTTGGTCTTCAAAATGCCTGTCTCTGCAGCTGAGTTCGTTAGGTAAACAGCTGGGGTAATTGATAGTGTGAATACCATTTCATTTCCTGCTGCTCTAGAAGAATTTGCTCTGAGGGGGAAGAAAATGACCAGTTCTGCCACTGTGAGTTCTGGCCAGTTTCCTTGAGGAGCACGCATTAGCCTGAATGTCTGCAAGGTGTGTTTTTTTTTTCCCTTGAAGAGCGAAGAACATAGGAGGGGCCTCTTAGTTCCTCCTTCTCTCTCATGGCAGGGCTGGAGATCAAGGTCAGATCTCATAGGGCTATGAAGAACTTTACAGAGATCTCCCCAGTCCTCACTGGAAAGCCGTGGGAATGCAACGTGCGAAGAAAAATGTCATGGCTTTGTGCATCTTAAAACATATTCAGGGGCGCCTGGGTGGCTTAGTCGGTTAAGCGTCCGACTTTCGCTCAGGTCATGATCTCGCGGTTCGTGGGTTCGAGCCCCGCGTCGGGCTCTGTGCTGACTGCCAGCTCGGAGCCTGGAGCCTGTTTCAGTCTGTGANCCCTCCCGATGTTTGACCCCTCTTTTTGCCTCTCCTGCGCTCAGGCAGGGCTCATGGGCTTCCTGGCGCCGGAAGGCGCCCTGCCCGCCGCTCTGTTATACTTCTCAGTGACTGGGTGTGTGCGCTTGAAGTTGAAACAAGATACATTTTGTGTCTGGGGCGCCTGGGTGGCTTAGTCGGTTAAGCGCCTGACTTTTGCTCAGCTCATGAGCTCGCGGTTCGTGGGTTCGAGCCCCGTGTCGGGCTCTGTGCTGACTGCCAGCTCGGAGCCTGGAGCCTGTTTCAGTCTGTGACTCCCTCTCTCTCTGACCCTCCCCTGCTCATGCTGTCTCTCTCTCTCTCTCTCTCTCTCTCTCGTAGAAATAAATAAAACATTTAAAAAAAAAGATACATTTAAAAAAAAAACATATTCAATTTGGGGATGATGCTCTTTTGAGAAAAAGAAGGGATATGAGATTCTACCGAATGGAAAGAAATACTTTTTCCCCAAGTTAATTCATCAGTTTAAAGCAGTTCCAATAAGAAACTCAGAAGGATTTGTTTAGATTGACAAAATTGTTCTATAGTGTATCCAAAGGAAAAAAAGAAAAGAAAAGATAAAATAGTGGTCAAATTTTACGTAATCAAAACAATAAGATGTGATTTATGCTTGCAGAAAAAAAAAATATACTACCAAGTATCAGTCATTCAACAGTGTGTTTCTGGGACTAAAACAGACCCACTTGTCACTGGAAATGAACGACCCAAGTGAAAAGAAACACAAATTCATGTGAAAAACGCAATGCAATATACATTGTTTTATATCAGAAATGGCTATCAACAACTTTCGCCTTCTTAGGTGAAGAGTTTAGGAGCAACAGCAAACGGCTGGTATAAGTACTATCAGTGGGTAGCAAAATATCTATTATTAACTGAATAGCACAGAATGTCTGGAAAGGAACTTCCAATTTTGTCCTCTGTTCCCCGCCCCCTTTACTGCAATGAAAGAGGCATTTTTTAATAATGATACTAAAGGGGCAAGTTACACAAGTGGAAAGAGTGCTTGGTCTACAAAAAAAAAGTTAAAAAAAGGAAACATTTGAATTTCCATTAAAAAATAATTTAAGTGTACATATTAAACTAGGAAAAGTATTTAGAATACATACTATAAAGACTTAATGTCCCTGGTATACAAAGAGTCTAGCAAATAAAAGGAAAAGATAAAAATGCTCCAATTTCTTCAATGGACAAACAACCTGAAGAGGAAGTACAGACACACACAAATACACCAGCCCCGATATTCATATACACAAGCATGTTAATGTCACTGTTATATAAAGGCAAACAGTAATGACATTTTTGCTCATGGAATTGGCAAGCTTAATATATACTCTTAATAATCACTGTTGAGGACCTGGCAAAATGAACATCTGATAGAAACATAAGTTGATACATTTATGGATAGCAGGATGTTGGGAATTGGGGAGTATATTCATGGCTTTGAACCCAGCAAGTACTCTGCTTGGCATTTATCCTATGGAAATTATTATAGATATTCACAAAAATTGACAGCTAAGCATTTTACACACTGTATTTATAATTTAGAAACAATAAAAAGGTCTATAATAGGGGACAGGGTATGTAGCACAAACATACAGTGAAAAATTATGCATCTATTGAAAAGCACAGGATAGAAGTATATTTAATGATATGGAAAATACTCTTCCATAAATTACTTGGAAAAAAGGTTTACTTGCCTACACAATAAGAATGATTGTCCCTTGGTGGTAAGATTGCTGTGATTTTTTTTTCTTCCTCCTTTTTATGCTTTCGTGCCCTTTCTAAAGTTTCAACAACGAACATTTGATGATTTCTAAACTAGGAGACCATGATATTCTTATTCCCCTTCTAGAATCCTAATGGAAAAACCCAAAGTCTATTATACTATGAACCTCAAGTGGCCATCTATTTATTTCATTATGGAGGTGGTAGTGATCTGTCTGCCTATAGCGATTCCCTATTCTTCCTGTAATTAAAAATTAAATAAATAAATAAATAAATAAATAAATAAAAACACTTCTGCCACATTGGTGTTCAGTCCCAGGACTTAAGAGTCTTTCAGGTAGAGACTATTCCAATCACAGCTGCCAGGGTGGACCTCGGCCTATGACCTTCTCCCAGCCAGGTGGCTGGATCATGCGTGAGCAGGTGGCATAGGTCAGTCCATCAGATCCTATCAAGCTGGTCCCAGATTTTCTGCCTGCGTGACCAGAAAGAAGGTACTCTCTTTTCTGTCCCATTGGACTTTGGATCCCTGAACTGTCTCCAGCAGCCATTGAAAAAAAAAATCTTGCCAAAAAGAGGAAGATCCGGAACAGAGGGAGGGATGGAAACTCAGTCCTCAGGATATCACCTAGGTCTTGGATCAAATTATGCCTGAAACTTGCTGGCCCCTCCCAGCCAAAAAATTTTTTTTAAAAAGTTAAGGGAGGAAAAAAAAACCCACCAGTATTTCTAACCACTTTGGGCTGGTTTTGAGTTGGTTTCTATTACTTTCAAATGAAAGAGACCTGGTCAGGGGTGCCTGGGTAGATCAGTCAGTTAAGCGCCTGACTTCAGCTTGGGTCATGATCTCACAGTTCGTGAGTTCAAGCCCTGCATCGGGTTCTGTGCTGACAGCTCAGAGCCTGTAGCCTGCTTTGGATCCTCTCTCTCTCTCTCTCTCTCTCTCTCTCTCTCTCTCTCTCTCTCTGCCACTCTCCTGCTTGCACTTTCTCTCTCTCTGTCTCTCTTTCTCTCTCTCAAAAACAAAAAACATTAAAAAAAGAAACTAAAAGAAAAAAAGAAAGAGATCGTGTCAGCACAGAAGTCAAAGAGCTTATAAAATATCACTCAAAAATGCACCAGGAAAACTTTCAAGGACTGGGATAAGGTGTCCAAAGTCCAAAAGAATAGCTCACCTTTTCCTCTTCTCAGCTGAAGCATCCAACCAACGTAGCTAAAGGGACTCAATAGCCTTCCCAGATGAACTCTCTCCACTTAACTAGTTCTCATATAAATAAGGAGCACTCACCAAAAATTACCAGAGACCTCCTAATCTCCCTACACCACTTCTTGGGAAGCACATACTTCATTCGGATAAACCCTGTAAGAGATGGGGCCAGTGGATCTACTGAAAATGGGTAACTTGCGATGTCTCTTGCTAATCATGACTGTAACCTAGACCAGTGCCTTCTGAACTTCAATGCTTTACTAGTTAGGAGTTCTTCCAAGGAAGCAAAGCCACTCTGAGTAATATAGAGTAAGGGGTTTATTATACATACTGCACCTATTGTAATTATGGAATGAGCCAGGAAATAAGATCAGGAAAGGGGAACTGGAGAATCAGAAAGGTCATCAAGGAAACTTCCTGCATGAACAAGTTGGAACTTTCAGGGAAGTGTAGGAAGCCAGTGGGAAGGAGAAGAGATGCAGAGGTCTGTGGAAGGCGTTGCTGCCCTGTCTGGAGTTCCTTTGATTAGCAGGGCTGACAGTCAGAGAGAAGACCTGGGTGTGCAGGTAGAGGGGAGAAAGCAGGGAAGAGCTGGAACCCAGCCACCTGAGCTTGCAGAGAGTCCAGCTAGGGGGACTCCAGAGCAGGGCGGATGCTACTTCAAGTCCATCCTGCTCATCTCTCGCAAAAGTTTTCTTTTGGCCAACCCTAATTTGGGGCAGTCTTATCCAAACTGATACCGTTATAAAACCACCACAGTGGGTGCCTGCGTGGCTCAGTTGGTTAAGCCTCTGACTCTTGGTTTCAGCTGTGGTCATGATCTCATAGTTTTGTGAGTCCGAGTCTCCATCCACGCTGACAGTGTGGAGCCTGCTTGGGATTCTCTGTCTCCCTCTTTCTCTGTCCCTCCTCCACTCACGCTGTCTGTCTCTCTCGAGATAAGCAAATAAACTTAAAAAGACAAAGAACAAAAAAGCAAAAACCCACCACAGATGTGTATACAGTCCACGTGGAGAATGTGTGAAAATGTGGATTCTGACACAGATGCACCCGTGCTCCTGGCCCAGATGCACTTCGTGTAGCAGGTCTTGGTCCCTTTGATGAAAATTAAAGAAAAAAAAAAAAAGGGCAATAATGAGGGGCAGAATGAGGGAGGTTGCTCTTACCAGCTTCACTTTATTTTCTTTTTAAAATAATAAATAGCACCTAAGCAGTCCTCAAGAGAAAGTAGAAAATTGGCTCACTTGTGATCATCAAAGGACAATTTTTTTTAACTTTCTTAATCTCTTGCTTGGTAATATATTAAAGGGGACTAAGGAGAGCCATGCTGTCTGAGACTGGATATTCGGGCTTCCCTTTGATCCAAATGGCCCTTCAGCACCTGGCATCACACCAGTTCCCAGTAGGGTGCTGGTCTCCGTCCTTCCTCCTCGGATCAAGAGCAAAAAGGCCAAATTCGGAAACCTCCTGTTAGTGCCGAAAGGAGATATTTTTTGTGCATTTCATCAACTTGCTTCTTTGTGAGAAGCTGCCCCAGATTTTGATTTGTGGAACCCATGACCAGGTAACAAATTAGGGCACAAAGATCACATTATATAAGAGATGAGTTATGAGAGCAATAAGCACGTGTAAATAGCATTTACATATTTAATGATCATTTTATTCTATGGCAATCTTGCATTAAATATTCAGGAATTATGTTCTCTTTGCTCATGCAAAAGCCTTTTGTCAAGTGCATTATTATTATTCTGGGAAAAGAAACTCTCTTATGCCATTATGTGACACGTGATGGCATTTAAGCTCTCATTTCTATGTCAGTCACCTGGAAGTCCTCACCTCAGCCTGTCTTACAGGGTCACCTTTCCTTCTAATAGTGAGATGAGGTGGCTGGAGCCTCGCTCCCCCACGAGGAAGGACCCTCATTCCCAATTGCTCCATCCCTACCTCACACAGGCCAAGGTGATTCAAGGGCTTTTGCCAATTCTTCTTCCTCTTTTTTTTTTTCTTCTGTGCTTTATTTCAGTTTCCCCTGAAGTTTTCGTTCTCTGACTATTCATTTCACTTCTCTTTCACCCCTGTCATCAACCCAAACACAGAATGCTAACCTGTTTCAGTTTTATTGTACTTTTCTCTCAAAACACCATTTGCAAAAGCCACTTGCATTTAGAGAGACTTTTTATTGACAAATTTGGTGGTAGAGTGAGTGAGGGTGACGCTATAAATGACAGTAAAGCACAGTGTGACAGGCAACTTTAAACACAACTTTGGATACTCCCCAAGCCCCAAAGGCACTGATTCCCTTACATGTCCATTCTCCAGCAGGGCACCCCATGCATCCTGGTGATGTCCTGTCACTTACTGCTTACAGCTTCTCCCACTTTACAAGGCCCGGTGAGGTGGCTTTCTCTGGTTTGCCCTGACTATCCGTGTTGTGACTGGGTGCTCACTCCCTCCAGCTGAAAGGACTCATCAGGTATCTCACTACAGACGAACAAATTTCTTCACCCCATAGAAAGGAATCCTGCCACCAGCCGGTATGCCAGCAATGGTTGGTTTTTGCAGGTGGGGGCGGGTGTGCTGGTGGCTCTGCTACATTTTCCTCTCGGAAAAATCTTTGCAGCCCCCATCAGGGTACTTACCCCTCAAATTCTCAACTTGAAGTGATGTGTAAGGATGGCAGAAAGAAACACATTATTTATTTGGGGAACTCGAATAATTGTTTACACCGACCCCCAAGAGAAAATGGTTTCTATACTACAATGTAGGCGCATCCACCATATTTTGTAGACCAGACCATAAGTCCTGGTTGTATTTCACCCTAACCAACATTCGTGGGCTCAGAGGCAGAAGTCTCCTGCACTGAGGCTTTGAAGTTCTGTGCCCAAGACATTGATTCCAATATAGAGGCTCCTTGCTTTTCTGTGTCATACACATGCCATTGCTGTAGCAGATTGTTGGTATGTTCCTGCCATGTTTCAATATTATCCTTTCCAATTTCTGTCACTCTGAAGATAATCCCCAGACAGAGGTTGCATACAGCCTGCATCAATGGGCTAGTCCAGTGGGATCCTTCTCCGGATCAGTCTGAAGCCTCCTACTATCAAAAAATAATATTTTTTTCATAAGACATTCTGTGACTATAGATGTTGGGTTATATTGTGTTATCTGAGCAACTTTCTGGATAGCTTCCTTCCTTAGACTTTAATTAGGCATCCTGTATTCTCAAACACAGCATTCTTTGCAAAGCTGAAAGACTAGTTTTGGGGGAGTCTCCAAGTATCCATCTCAGGGTTGGGACTAGGGTAAAGCAAGTGAGGGTACTTGCTTCAGACATAAAACCGGAGGGGACACCAAATGCCTCAGTGATCAAGATCAGTAGAAGTTTTGATACATACTATTTAGTGCAATACACTAAACAATCAAAATGAAACCTAAAACCCATGATGCACATGATACCAAAGTTTTAAATAAAGACAGGATTAGTACTACTGATTTTTCCTTTGCCTCAGGCTCTAGTATGTTTAGGGACACAACTATGATTGATTCTGTGTTTATTTAAAATGTTGGGGGGTGTCTGGGGCACTCAGTCAGTTGAAGTCTGACTCTTTGTTTTGGCTCAATTCATGATCCCAAGGTTGTGGGATTGAGCCCTGCATTAGGCTCCACTCTGAGCATGGAGCCTGCTTGGGATTCTGTCTCTCTCCCTGTCTCTTTCCCCTGCTGGCATTCTCTCTCTCTCTCTCTCTCTCTCTAATAAAAAAATAAAATTAAATAAATAAGTAAACAATAAAACGTTGGTATTTTGTTGATCATAGACTTTTGTTTCCATTTTGATTTTTTTAATGCTGCATTAAAATAGTATTTATCTTGATTACAGAGTTTTTGGTGTCCTAGGTGTGTGATACGCTCACCTCACCCCAATGAAGGTTCTGGCCTATCTTCTTTTTGGACAAAATTCAGGACATAGCCCAGCCCAGGCTCTAACCAATTAAACTGCAGAGCATTATGCTGGAATACTCTTTCCTTAAGATTTGAGATCAATAGCAGGGTTTGGCAGTGAGGCAAAAGTGAAAACTTAATTTTGAACATTGGACATCTTGGTTCTCACTAGAGGACCACTCACTTTTCAAGGTCTCCCACCTGCTGACTTTGTGTGTTCTTTTTCTTCTCATCTCCTGGATGCTTCTGTAGCTGTCTTTACATAACTACAATGGCAAATGAAGGAAACTACCTAATCAAAACATGTTATTTCAGTAAGAGGAATTTAACAACCAGTGTTTAAGTTAGCATTTCTTCTTTTCTCACTAGGGCACATTGATTTAGCTAAAATTTGTGTCTGCCCATTAGTGGCAGGCACAGGTAATACAAAGATCAATGAAATTCACACCTGGCCTTGAGGAGCTGATTCTCTCTCCCAGTGGTCCTCATCAGGCCTTACCAAGGTCTCTACCCAGACCCAAACAACCTGAATCACTGGGGGTGGCTCCCGGGTATCTGTACTATGTTAAAGTCCCCAGTGGATTCTGAAGCACAGGGTGGACTGAAAACAGCCCTTTTAGCTGAAGAACAAACACAAATAATTGCCAAAGAATAAAGTGTGTTATAACAAAGGCAAAGTGGAATGGGAGCGAAGTGGAAGGAACATTAGTTCTGTCTGGAGGGATTGGGAAAGTTCTCATAGAGGATGTGACTCGAGGGAGACCTTGAAAGATGAAAAGAAATTGCTCAGCTACTATGTTAGACTATGAACACTGGAGAAGTGTCTGTTTAGTTCTGGTACAGCCAAGAAATTGCGCCAATACCAATAAGAAATGACCCACAGCTTGCTCAGCAAGACATCAGTCCTACAGAATACCTGTGTGTGTGGAGCGGGGGGGGGGGGGGGGG